TGAAAATTTTTTCTCTGTGAGTAGACTTGCAGTTTTGGAGGTGGTTGCGGAACTGGCTGTGAACCAGGCTGGGATAGCTGCTCTGGCTATAAAGACAACTGTGATAGCGGTTGTGAATCTTCCAATTCAGTTTTGGTTTGGACTGGAACTAGAATGTCGATACTGGGGGCTGACTGTGGGGTCAAGGCTTCTTCAACTGTGGCTGTGGCTGTGACATCCCATTCCCACACATAAGCTTCAGTATCAGTACTCTCCCCTGAAGCAAAGTGTGGGAATAAAAGGGTATTTCTTCAAAAAAGGTGACATCTCGGGTGACAGGTTTTTTTTCGTTTGTGGGCAGAAACACCGATAACCCTTTTTTGTTGGAGAATATTCGAGGAAGATGGTTTTTATGGCTCGGGGGTCGAGTTTGGAGCGATGTTGGGAATAGACGTGGACAAACGCAGTACAACAAAAGGTTTTAAGGGAAAGGTTGTTTGTGAGGATGTTAGAGTGTGGGACTTGAGTTGTAAGGACAGATAATGGGGTTTGAAATTTTAGGGGGCGGCTGGGTAGTCTGTTGATGAGAAAGGCTGCGGTTAAGATGGCATCACCCAATAGATGTTTGGGTACGTTCATAGTGAACATAAGGGCACGGGCCACTTCCAACAGGTGCCGATTCTTTCTTTCTGAAGTTCCATTTTGTTGTGGTGTTTCCGTACAAGAACTCTGGTGAATGATTCCATTTTGATCAAGATAAGTACCCAAAGTGGATTGGAAGTATTCACCGCCATTATCAGTTCTTAGAACCGAAATCTTTCTCTGAAATTGAGTTTGAACCATTTTATGGAAGGTTTGAAAGATTTGGCTGGTTTCAGATTTTTCCCTAAGCAAGTAAACCCAAGTCATCCGTGTATAGTCATCAATAAACGTGATAAACCATCGTTTGCCATTTAAGGTTGTTACCCTAGAAGGGCCCCATATATCACTGTGAATCAAGGAGAAAGGCATAGAGGGTGCATATGGTTTTGGTGAGAAAGGTACACGTGTATGCTTCGCAAATTGACAAATATCACAAGTAAATGAAAAAGTATCTTTATTCTTAAATAGGTTTGGTAACAAAAATTTTAAATAGGAAAAATTAGGGTGGCCAAGTCTATGATGCCACAACATTATTTCTTTATTACTAGAAACTGAAATAAAAGACACTTGTTGCGATAAGATCCTATGTATGAAAATAGCTCTACGCAAGTGCACGCAATCGCACAAGTAATACAGTAATGAATAAAAGTATCGTCTCCACAGGGACTGAGTTAATAAGGAATTGATTACAAAAACCAGTTGTGCTAAACTGACTGAGAATGATTCGAATGCCAAATTGATATTGATTAAATAAAATAAACGAGTAAAATAAACGGATGTGATTGAAATGCAAACAAGTGGTAAAACTCAACAAGTTCTAGGCTCTAAGCTGCGAATCAATGATGGGTAAGGGCTAGGATTATTGATTTCCCCTCGGTTGCAACTCTTACCACGTTTTGCTATAGGATTACTGTAGCAAAGTTCATCCAGTCAACCTAAAATTCTGCATAATCATCTTCCGACAGATCTATGCTTATAGTTCCTTAAACCAAAACCAACATATTCCTATGCACTTTAGTTTACCAAACTTGAAGTTAAGCACCAATTTTAATAGGTTGTACAAGACAATAATATATTCCTATACTATTCCCTTATATTATCCAAGCTAGATCTAACTAAATTAACCTTTTTAGAATTAGTTAAGTTTATATTTTTCACTAAATGATGGCCTGTCACTTAACATAAATTAGACAATATTATACTTGAATAAATAGGATGAAGATTACGCAAGCAATTAGAATAACAAATAAATCTTCATTGCAACTTTGGTTCAATCAATAATCCTAGCTAAAGAATTTAGCTCATGTTTAGTTCAACAAAATCAGAAATAATAACAAAAAACAGCTCCATTCGTTCACAGAGAGTAAAATACAGAAAGAGAAAGAAAATGGCTAAGCTAAAATCTGAGGCCAAAACAGGTGTGTATCCGTGCTATCCCCTTTCTAGCTCCAGAAACCTGCGCCCACCATTTCTCCTGTACTCTATTCTTTTTTCTCTTCTCAGCTCGTACCAAGAATTCTGTGCGCCTCCTTCTCTGTCTCTGGCTGCCCTGTCCAGTACTCTTCTTTTTCATTTTATACTAGGGGCAGGATGAGGTACCTTAATTACATGTGTCCGCCTCAGAGCCAAAACTGATGGTCCCCGCTTTAGTGCTCTTACAGCTGTCCCCTCATGTCAGAGTCGGCAATTTGGACCACTGCCAGCTGTACATGAAAACAAACTGCACCAGCTTGCACCTTTTGGTTGCATCTGCGTTGTTATAGCTTTGCTGCAGCAACGGGTTCGTTCCTGCCTTCACTTCCTTTACCGTGCTTTTCTTTCAAATTGCTTTTACCAACACTGCCCTGTTGTTTTCTTGCACTAATTACCCAAAGTCAACACACCTATATTGAACATGAGGACTAAATTCATGTTATAACGAGATTGCTCCACAAATATCAACCTTCTATCAACTAAACAAAAACTAACAAATGTTATACAAAATACTAACACTAAGGCATTTTACCTTGAGAAAATAAACAACTACTAAGCCTAAAAGTATGCTAAATAATTCCATTTCATCGAGTTATCAACACTCCTGACACATGTGCTTGTCGACTCTCAGATTCTGAATTCTCAAGGAAATAAAGTCCTTCATAGGCTCTAGCACTGCCAATCGTCTTCCCCGATGATAGGTCCTGAAATTGACACATAGAAGGGGAAAAATTAACTATACAGTTATTGTCACGAGTGAGTTTGCTAATGGACAGCAAGTTACACTTTAAGGTTGGACCATGTAGGACGGAATGAAGAATAAGGTTTTTTGAGATTTGGATTGAACGTATTCCAGCAATAGTAGCTAGAGACCCATCGGCAATCTTAATTTTAGCAGTATTAGAATATTGAGTATAGGAGGAAAAGTGTTTGGAACAACCTGTCATGTGGTCAGAGGCACCGGAATCAATGATCCGCGGTTCCTGGGCATGAAGTGATGAGATTAAGGCTGAAGGGTTACCATTATGTGTCGTGGTGCACAATCCTACATTAGAAATTGGATTAGACGGTGGTGTGAGAAGACGATAGAGTTGCTCTAACTGTTCCTTGCTTAGTGAAATTGAAGATTCTGCGGATTGTTGTTGTGTGGGAGCATCCATTCCATTCTTATCTTGAGAGGCCTAAAAACCTCTTCCTTCATTCTGCTTCCGAGGAGTCCAGTTTGTTGGTTTTCCATGGATTTTTCAGCAAGTGTCTTTGGTGTGTCCAGTTCGTTTGCAATGATCACACCAAGGCCGGTTTCTTCTTTGTTGGTTTTCGCTGTGGAATTGTGGTCCTCGTGCGGCTAAGGCAGAGGCATCCGTGGTTGAGTTTCCAGCATCATTAGGCGTCGAGATAACACCACCATTGGAGGTTCCTAGCATTAATTTCTTTCGGCTCTCTTCCTGCTTCACTTCTGAAAAAACCACACGAACATTTGGCAAAGGCTTCGTACTTAAGATCCTTCCACAAACATCATCTAAGGTTTTATTGAGACTAAGCAAAAACTTGTGAACTCTGTCTCTTTCCAGGATTTCCTTGTATTGCTTATGATCCTCGGCACAATGCCAAGCTGATTCGTCAAGGATGTCCAGTTGTTGCCAATGGCGTGATAGAGTATTAAAGTATTTTGTTACGCTTAATTCTCCTTGACGAAGATCATTCAGAATTCCCTTTAGCCTGAAAATCTCTGACGTGTTTTTCCCGTTGGAGTAACTCCGCTTCACTGCATCCCACATCTCTCTTGCTGTTTTGTAATACATGAAGTTTTCTCCCATCTCGGTGTTCGGTGTTCATGGAGTTGATCAGCCATGACCGAACCATGCTATTTTCTGTCTTCCAAGTTTTAAACTTAGGATCCTTTTCATCCGGTTGTGCAGCATTGCCGGTGAGGTAGTCTTCTTTTCCCTTTCCTTCGATGAACATCATTACGGAATGTGACCATTGGACAAAATTTTGTCCATTGAATTTATGACTTGTGATTTGCTGAAAGGAGGGTTCGAATCCATTGATTTGGATCGGATTGACAGCCCCTGAAGAGGCAGAGGTAACCTCGGAAGATGAGGTTTCTTTCCCGCCGGCTATCCCGTATTTTGTCATTCCGGTTGGCAGAAAAAATTAGATTTCAGAGAGTGGCTCTGATACCATGAAGACAGATTTGAAAGAGAAATACTCTACTATCTTATTGAATAGTGCGGAAAAAACAAATAAATAAGCAGCCAAGTTTAGTTGGCTTATCCGAATAAAAGGAAAGATAATCTCCTACTAAGTGACTGATTTGATTTTAATATTCAAATCAGATTTTATTGACTAATTCCTAATCCTAAACAATCCCGGATAATCACTAGGAGAAGATAAGGAAAGATTTGAATATCCTAAATCCTCCAAACTGATTTATCCTAATCAAACCCGATTTAGACCATTCTACCCTGAATATGTCGACACTAGATTCATGTTATGATTTGAATCATGGTTTGTAGTTTGTTACAGTATTTTCTCTCACAAAAAACACGGAAATCGAGAATGGTTCTGAATCCATCAACCAAACGTCCACTTAGTCTATTGTACCTTACTTCAACTAGGAAAGTTCAAATAGTATTGCATCTAAATTTGTTCTTGCAAGTTATTTTCAGTTTTCCTCAAATTTGAGCCACAATTTGCCTGACTGTTTGTTCTAGTGGCACTAGGGTGGGGCGGGATGGGGCTTTAGGGGGAGGTTGCTGATTTGATTCTGTCTTGAGAAAAAACAAAAATGCCACAACTGGATGGCTCTGTTTGTGCTGTGTCTTTGCTTTAAGTTTTTCGGACGATATTGTGTTTGTGTTTGGGGATGGTGAACAAGAGATTTTTGGTCTTGCTCTCCACAGGAAGCGTCTATTTAGCTTGATAAATGATCTGCCGACACTGTTTGAAGTTGTAACTGGAAGGAAGCCAGCGAAAGATAAACCTAGTTTGGATAGTGGAAGCAAGTCCAGAAACAGCGCAAAGGTGAAACTGTTTACTCTATTGTTCTCTTTGATTTTTCTTTTCACTTGCCCTTGTCCCAAATTTTTCTTCTCATACCCTACATATGCTCTTCAGAGATCAAATGATAGACAAATCAAGAGCAACACGAAGTTAGTCGATGAAAGTTATGGGGATGATGAAGATGAACACAGTGACACTCTGTGTGGAAGCTGTGGGACAAATTACAGCGCCGACGAGTTTTGGATCGGCTGCGACATCTGCGAGAGGTGGTTCCACGGAAAGTGTGTGAAGATTACACCAGCCAAGGCCGAAAGTATTAAGGAGTACAAATGCCCTTACTGCAGCGCGAAGAGAGGCAGACAGTAGAGGATAATGACTTGAGACAGTTAACCTCCTCGTACCGGTCCATGATATCATTGTAAATCAGTGATAGTAATCTAGGTTCATTCTATTTCATTTTATTTTTTAAATAATTAGTTCTTTTTTTTTTTTGGTATGTAATATTCTACTTATCCATGACATGCTTCCTCTGCACAAGTTGAAGATGGTTCACAGTCGGGACGCATTTTCCACTATATATTGCTGTCTAACCACTCAGGATGCCTTTTCCACTACATGTTGCTTTCTAATTTAAATATTTTCACGTTAAAGTTCGTTTCTTAATTAAGGAACTGCTGTTGACATTTCACAATTATATTACTCCCCTAGAAATTAGATATATTTCGTGTTTGTTCCCTGTATAAGGGCATTGGAACTACGTAGGGGCTTCTATAGTTGGGATTTTGTAAATGGAACGGTAATTTTTTTTATTATATATATATATATATATACATGGGTGTGTATATATATATCTTATAATATTCTCCTTGTATTTAAAATTATGTTCAAAAGCGCACTTTGTGGTATCAGAAACCGTTCGGCTTCAAAAGTTTTGGATGAGTATATAACGCTAGCTTAACTAAAAGACAATGGCAGTCAATTATTATTATTTAAAAAAAAAAAAAAAACTTTCTTAGTGAAGGCCCTATGAAAAGAATTTAGAGAACTTTTTTAATTCAATGTAAACGTGGTATATGGACGTGTGCAAGGGATAGAATTAACCCATGATAAGAAAATTCGTTTTGATAGTTAGAATGTAGGTTCTTTAATTGGTAGATTTATGGAGTTAGTAAATGTTATAGTAAGGAGAAGAATTAATATTTTAGCTTACTGGAAACGAAGTGGATAGGAGAGAAAGTCAAGGAGATTGGAAATTTAAGACACAAGTTATGGTATACTGGTTAGGGAAGGAATCACAATGAAGTTGGTATTCTAGTGGACAAAACTGTGAAGTATGACGTAGTTGAGATTAAGCGAATAGGGGATAGAATTATTATAATCAAATTGGTACTAGAAAATAAGTTCATCTATGTAATTAGTGCTTACGCTCCACAAATAGGATTGGATGTAGAAACTAAAGTCAAGTTCTGGGAAGACATGGATGACTTAGTATGGCGTATAGGCAATGAGGATAGCATTTTCATTGGAGGAGATTTCAATGGACATGTTGGTAAGGATAGGGAAAACTTCAAAAGGATCCACGGTGGTTTTGGTTTTGGAGCTCGAGACGATGAAGGAAAATCTATTTAGGAATTCACGTTGGGACATGATTTTATCATAACAAAAACATTTTTCAAGAAAAGAGATTCTCACTTGATCACTTTTAAGAATGAGAGGAACTGGAGCCAAATAAATTATTTTCTCCCCAGGTATAGAGAACGTTCTCTATGTAAGGATTGTAAAGTAATTCCTGGAGAAGTATTAGCCACCCAACATAGGTTAGTGATCTTAGATGTGAGCATTAAGCTTTGCTATAGAAGGACTAAGATAAACCACCTCCCACGAACTCGTTGGTGGCATTTGAAGGGAATAAAACAATTGGCCTTTAAAGAGAAGTTGTTAGAGGAGGCTACTTGGTCATATATATGTGATGCAAATACTATGTGGGATGTCATGGCCAACTGCATTAGAAAACTGGCAAATGAGGTACTAGGGGAACCTAGAGGTAAAGGCCCCCTAGGAAAAGAAACCCGGTGGTGCAGTGAGGAAGTTCAAAAAGCTATTAGGACCAAGAGGGATTTATATAGAGATTTACCAAAGTGTAAGGATGTTGAAACTTTTAATAAGTATAAAGAAACGAATAAAGAAGCTAAGCGAGCAGTTGGTAAGGCTCGTTCTACTTACTTAGATGAGGTATATAGGAAACTTGGGACTAAAGAAGGAGAGAAGGATATATATAAACTAGCTAGGATAAGAGAAAGAAAGTATCGGGATCTAAATCAAAAGTTCACTACGGAAAATGAAAAAGGGGAAGGCATGTGGGCCAGATGATATTCCAATAGAGGTTTGGATGGCATTAGGAAATGTTAGAATTGTGTGGCTCACTAAGCTTTTTAATGAGATACTAAAGAAGAAGCATATGCCTGATGCGTAGAGGAAAAGTATTCTTGTCCCCATCTTCAAGAATAAAGAAGATGTGCTGAATTGTAACAATTATAGTGGCATAAAGTTAATAAGCCGCACTATGAAACTTTGGGAGAGAGTTATTGAAAGGAGAGTAAGGGCCACAACTACCATCTCAGGTAACCAATTTGGCTTCATGCCAGGCAGATCAACTACGAAAGCCGTTTTTCTTCTTAGGATGCTGATGGAAAGGTACAGAGAAGCCAAGATGGGCCTACATATGGCCTTTATAGATTTAGAAACGACATATGATAGGGTACTGAGGGAAGTTTTATGGTGGGTGCTAGAAAAAAGAGGAGTGCATGTGAGGTATATAAAGGTAATTAAGGACATGTACGATGGGGTGGTCACAAGTGTGAGAATTACTGGAGGCTACATGGCAGAGTTCCCCATACGGATCGGCCTTTATTAAGGATCTGCTCTTAGTCTTTATCTTTTAACCATTATGATGGATGAGCTGACAAGAGAAATCCAAGATAAAGTTCCTTAGTGTATGCTTTTTGTGGACGATATAGTTTTAGTTGATGAACATAGGGAAGGAGTTAATTGTAAGTTAGAACTATGGAGACAAGCTCTCAAGACGAAGGGGTTTAAGTTAAGTAGGACGAAAATTGAATACATGCATTGTAGGTTTAGTAACTAAAGTAATCAGAGTGATGAAATATCTTTAGATGGTGTGGAGATTGGGGCTTCTAGGAAGTTTAGGTACCTTGGGTCTATAGTGCAGTACGGAGGAGATAGAGAAGAGGATATTCAACATAGGATCAAGGCAGGGTGAGTTAAGTGGAAGAATGCTACGAGAGTTTTATGTGATAGCAAGATGCCTATTAAGTTGAAAGGAAAGTTCTTTAGGACTGCAATCTGCCAGTTATATTATATGGTTGTGAATGTTGGGCCATTAAAAGACAATATATATGTAAGATGAGTGTCGCAGAAATACGTATGTTAAGATGGATGAGTGGCCATATGAGAATGGATCGCATAAGGAATGAAGTTATTCGTAGTAAAGTAGGTGTAGCACCAATAGAAGATAAGGTGCGCGAAGGCCGTTTGAGGTGGTGCGGGCATGTCCAACGTAGACCTCTAGAAGCACCAGTTCGTGCTTGGGATCACATTCTTATAGCTAATACTAGGAGAGGAAGGGGTAGACCAAGAATTACGTGGACCGAAGTAGTTAGGAAAGACATTCTAAATCTAGGCCTTCAGAAAAGTCTAATTTCGAATAGAGCTGCGTAAAAAAGTGAAATTCCTATAGCCGACCCCAATTAAGTTGGGATTAAGGCTTGTTGTTTTTGTTGTAAACGTGGTATATGCTTTCAATATTGAATAGGAATACCATTAAAATTTCTTTTATATATGAATTAGAGGCACAAATGAAATTCTAAAACAATTTAAAAATAAAAATAAAAATTTTAAAATTTGAATGGGGCCATATTTCGTTGGGAAAAGGAGACAATATTCTCTTAGAGTGCATAAGTCTAGATTTTTATTCCTTACTGATTAATATCCTTTTAGTCAAATAATTATACTAGTTAAAAGGGTATTAATTAAGAGTAAATGATAAAAATCAAGACTTATGCACTCTTAAGAGTAAGTTAGTAATTCTCTCTATCTTTTTTTTGCTTTATTTTTGTTCTGTTTAGTATGTAGCTCCGGCACTGCCGAAAGGCCTGGTTGATTGATATAGCATGACATATACAAGTTATAATAGGGTAAACTTTCAACTAATATGTTATAGAGGACATTCTCCGGTACACTAACATACCGGTAGGTCAGGTTTTTTGTCTGTCAAATCTAATAAAATTACGTAAAAGTCAAAAAGTACGCAGATTCAACAGTTAGAAAAACTTAGCCTATACACCAAGCGTATAAGAGAATCTCCTGTGTTATAGTTGGGTTAACCTTTTGGAATATGATTAGAGAAAAAATTTGTCATAATTGGGTTTAAATTTTAGGTTGTGTTTCCTACCTACTGTCAAATGAACAGTCTTTGTACAATGTCATAAAAAAAAAAGTCATTAATGGAATCCTCGTATGCTTTAATTTCGTATGATGTTATGAAAAGCTAGACTTTCATTAGTAGAATGACTTGGAATTGGCGTATAGCGCACTTGTAAAAGTTTGCTTCCAACCAAGGAGTAACATACTTTAATAGTGATGTTTGGCATAGTTTTTTAAAAGCTTCTTTTGTCTTTTCGGGTTCAAAATCCCTCCTCATCTCATAAGATACTGCACAAAGGGCTTCTATTTTTTTTTTTTTTTTTTTGTTTGATACAGCAAATACGATTGGTGGAGGAATTTTCTAAAGAAGTTCATTATTAAGCCTAAATTAGGAGTTGAGCAACATCAAAAATATGATTATTAAGAAACTAATTACACGTCCAACAGTAAAAGATATTTGGTACATGACACAAAGGGTGAAGACTTGAATAACAAATTAGCAATGATGCATCAAGAGAGTGGAATACCAATTATCACTTGCTCAAATATATAAGACAAAGAAGCTCACTATGAATACAAGGGCTAAAAGCGAGTCAACTTTTCCACCAAGCAGCCATATATATATATATATATATAACAAAACCATGGGATACGCGTAGTAAAGGACCAATTTCCACCAGAACTTGATCAAAATGCGAAAGCGTTTTTTAATATATGGTTGAAAAGTTGTACATCAATTACAGTAACATGATCCCTAAAGTTCAGAAATGTTTTCGTTCATTTGCTAGAGTTTTTGCATCAATATGTGGGTTCCATAATAAACAGCGTATATTCTTTTTAGTAAACCTTCTTCCATACCTGTAATTACAAGAACACATGAACATGACGTCTCTAGTGCTAGAGATGAACGCAAGCTGATTGAAAAACTCAAGCCAATATGCCCACAGGTCCAATTTAGTACTACTAGTACAAAGCAACTTTTTTTTTTTTTCCCTTTTTTTCCCCTTTCTTGTAATAAAGGAAATATTTGAAGGCGTTCGGATTGGTACTGAGATTAGGATTATTTATCTAATTCTATATTTGGTGACAAACTTTGACTGAATATCTTAACAATTGACCAAAAAACAAACCTTTATTTGTGGGAGATTAGAAACCCATCAGAAACACATGGGATTGTCAATCTCTCAGAACGAGATCTGCCGGCGCTAGTTCTCCACCTTTGGAGCTCACCATTGCGCGAGCAACTCACTGCCAAATCTCTATCGTTTTAAGTGTGGAATCTAACTAATTAATGTTCTGATGCATACGTGGATCAAGCATATAATGAAGTATTGCGGAAGTTAAAAGTGGATTTAAGTCTTAATATTAAAGACGAATCACTATAAATTTTATTTGTTATTATTTGCTTGGTTTTCTTTTGTGATTTTGCTGCTCTTCGTGAATAAAATATTGGAGTGCCTAATTCTTAAAACGTTGGCAACCCAATCATAAAGTCTACTGTGATGAATTAGTGTAACATCATTAACAGTACTGTGACAACTAGAACTTAAAACCGAGCTCTTGTAAAGTCTGACCGTAAAGTCTTACCTGGGACCCAAAGGTGTTGTTTAGTGCAATAGCATCAATAGTGAGTGTCGATTAGTGACCATAATGTTCGTATATACAGAGCATCTAATCGATTGATTTAGATCACATGTTTAATTTTAGCATCGTTCCCATTAATCACATATTTAGGGTGCGTTCGTTTGGTTGATTAAACTGGAGTTAGCCCAACTCAGATTGAGTTTTGGGCTTAGTCTACCGTTTGGTAACCCAAACTCAAAGTCAATACTCGAGATAGAATTAGAGTTATGAAACATCAGCTACCCACTGATTTTCAATAACTCAAATCTGTATGCTATAGTGCATATTCTTTGCATACCATGCTTTCACATGCGCGTACAGTGTCATCCCTCCTTCGTGTTGGTTACTGCTTGGCTCACGAGAGGCCCCTCCTTCGTTTCCAAAGCTGATTACTGCTTGGCTCGGGAAAAGCTTCTCTTCTCTCACCATCTCCCATATGCTACAGTCGGAATCTCTGAGAAAGGTGAGAGTCCAGCAGTCGCAGATGCAGTTTTGATTCGTTGGGTTTGTCCAAATCGAGGGTGCCTCTGAGATTTTTTCCTTCATCGTTCACCTATAAATTCCTCAAAGACCACCCCTTTTCCTGATTCTGTAAGAAAGAGCAAACCCTAGATCCGTTCCTTCGTGTTCCCTGTCTTCTTCAATTTTCAAAACGGAGACAATTGGAAAGAAGAGAGTGAAGCGGCGTCTTCAATTGGCCGTAATATTGAGTCGATGTAGTGTGGGACGTCGTTTCTGAGTGCGTAGCTGTTGTCCCCGGTACAGGTGTTTCCGTTGTCGTTGCCGTTGGCAAACTTCTTTAGCAGCTCCGTCGTACTCGTGTTTGGGGGTTATCAAAGCAGAGCATCTGCTGTCATCTACAGGATCAAACACAGTAAGCACTCTCCCACTTATTACTATGAAGTTGCATATAGGACAATCAGAATAGATTATGAGATAGAATTGTATGTGTTGGTTTGCTTGCCATTTGATAGAATAGATTATGAGATAGAATTGTATGTGTTGGTTTGCTTGCCATTTGATTTTTGACATTGTTACGAATATGTCTTGGCCCCTATTGGATACAATCTGTTGGATAGATAACAGGGCCTTCGATATAGGCTGTGTTGACAAGTATGATGGAAGTGTTTTTTTGACTCTCTGGATTTCTTGCTTCTATCTCGTGCTTTGTACATAAGAGTACCCAAACCTGTGCATAATCAGCAAATAATATATAAGAGAGACAAGAAAGTATGGTCTACTGATTCCAAGTATTTATTTTTTGGTCAGAAAAAGAAAACCTGTTAATGTGGCAATAAACATGCTTAGAATTAGAAAGGGTGTGACAAAAAAAATTACTTAAAACTTGAATTTGACAACATAGCAATGAGTTGAATCTAGAAAGGTAAGAATGGTACATGATTTTTGAGTGATTTTGATATGGTTATTTCCAACATCTTTCATTAAACTTATTCTCCAACGTCCGGTTGTGGAAATTCTCAGTTAGACATGTATGAACTTGTGCTCTCTGTCTTTTTAGAAACTGAAATTTTAACTGATCCGTTTGGTTCTTTTTTATGGTTGTTTCAGATAATCTCTTTTGTTTCTTCACTGTGTAGAGTGCTTGTGTTTTAAATTTTTTTCGACTAAAGCTAATTAAGGTATACAGTTGTGTTTATATATTGGGTTGGTGTGGTAATATATACGGTCTCTCGCAACCCCATTTTCTTATTCATTTGCAAACTCCGACTCATGAACTAACAGTGACCCAGCCCTTGCAATATTCCGCTTTCATGATTGTCCTTTGGAGTGAGATTTTAACTTTTGAAATGCATAATTACTATGGGATGTTTATTTTAAGGGTTCGTTCATATATCTGAATCATATAGGTTGTTCACAACACGGTTAGCATTAACAAGGGCCCAAAAACAAGGTTTTGAACCAATAATGTCAAGTGTCACATATTTGAATTTCATTAATAGTCGTTGGTGTGTGGTGGTAGATGCCGAGAGGGGGAGAGGATGAGGAAGTGGCTCTTCATTGGAATCAAATGCAGAAGGAAGAGTTGTTGCACCGCCTCGCAGAGTATAACTGTAAATACCACGGTAGGAAACCAGCCCAAAAAACTTGGGAAGAGTGGGCTACTGAACTACAAAAACATTTTACGGATCCGGTTACGGCGCCCAAGGTTCAACAGATGAAAGTGCATCTAAAAGCCAAGTTCGATAAGGAGGTTATGCTACACACAAACACATGCCTTGGTTGGGATCCTGTAACGGGCGCTGTGACATGTACGAACAAATATTAGGATGATTTTGCTAAGGAAAATTGCAGACGTTCAATTTTCCTTTTTTCCAGTTATTAGCATCACTTAGGACATGTGTTAAACATTTCCTTGCTTATGTCGTTGTTCTTTGTCACACAGAACAAGAAGTGGGCCAATGCTGCAAAGAAGCAGCCCCTAAAAAATTTTGACCTGTACTACGAGGCCTTTGGCAATACCCGGGCAAGTGGGGGTCTTGCGAAGGGTTTGGAAAAACCTACCACCGAGCATGTGGCCACCATCCCCATCCCAGATGAAGAAGGTGAAGGGGGGCGACATCGCAGTCGTTAGGCAGCGACGACGATTTTGTCACTATGATGCAAGATGGTTTGAACAATGCCAGGAAAGGCTTGAACGTTGTGTCCTCTTCTAAGGCAATTGGAAAGAAGTCTGTACGCAGTCACAAATGTCCGGTTGGCGATCCAGAGGCTAAGACACTCATTGGACGGCTTGTGGCATCTATAGAAAGTAGAAATAGTAGCAAAGCAACAAGTTTCAACGGGAATCAGACTCCTAGAACACCTTCTGTTTTGCAGCAGTGTCAAGTGCTTGTCAAGGGGATGGATCTTGATGATGAGAGTGTTGTAACATTTTTAGAGGCCATTGTGTGGTATCCGCACATGCAATAACTATTCGTGGATATGACAGAGACGCAAAGGGTTTTCTTCGTGACGAGGACTATTAACTCTAAAATGAATCAAACAAGCCAGCCTCTCTCGATGCCTAATCCAGCCATGGCCTCCAACTTCATGCAACCCCCGTTTCCAAACTACATGCCCTTTACCAACTTTTTCCAACAACCACCCTTCTTTAGCCAACAACCACAAGTACCTAGTTTTTCTCAACGGCCTCCTAACGTGCAGCCACAACATCCACCATTCCAAAACATGCCGGCAAATGTTATTCTCCAAACCCCTAACTTTCAATGTCAACCACCCTATTACGTGCCTAGTTTTCCACCTAACTCCGGTCCTTTTGGTGGAGAAACCAATGACGACTAGCTACGAGTTATCGGTCCTTTATCAATTTTTCTTTACGTGCTTTTTAACTATGTTGTATTGATATTATTGAGTCGATGTACTTCCGAACTATTGCTTCATTTACGTTTTCTTTCAATTTATGTCATGATGACATGTTGCAATTTGCATTAAAGACTTCACTTGTTCTGAAATGGGCACCTGCCCCTCAGCGACTTTTCAATACTTTGCAAGAATGTTATTGCCCAATTTCTACCTTTTTGTTGTACAGGTAACTTATAGTATAACATATTTGGCAAACAGGTCATAATGTGGAATGGAGGGCCTTCGAATGCGTCGCCTAACAACACATTGAGCGATGACTCTGATGATGAAATTGAGACAGCTGTCGTCGCGGCTGTCCTCTGGCATTACCACACATACATGGAAAGACAACCACCTCGACCTAAGCACACCTCTGCGTTGACAGGTATTATGTGTGTTGATTACTTGCTTGATGGCCACGATGACATAATTCAGAATAAGATTAGGATGAGCAGTGACTGTTTTAAGTGTCTTAGTGAACTATTAGAAGTTAGAGGATATTTGAGACCCACTAGGAATATGAATGTGGACGAGCAGCTTTTTATCTTCCTATAAATTGTGTCCCAAAGCCAAAGCAATAGGGAATCACAGGACTAATGGCAGCATTCTGGATCCACCATTTCCAAATACTTCGAGGCAGTATTGGCTGCAATATATAACATGTGCCATGATTTCATAACACCCCCGAATTTTAACATTACTGATCTAGTCATTGCGGTGAATGGAAGCAAGTATTTACCATGGTTTCAGGTATGTCATTGGACGGAGTCATATGCTTATCGACTTACTTGACGTAATTGCTAATAGTTGTTGTTAATTGATTACAGAATTGCGTTGGAGCTCTTGACGGGACTCACGTCCCTTGTGTTCCACCACCCGGTAACCCCGAAGTATGAAGGAACATGAAGGGTTTTTACTCTCAAAATGTGTTAGGGGTATGTTCATTTGACCTGAAGTTTACTTACATCTTAGCTGGATGGGAGGGCTCTGCACATGATGCGCGCGTTCTTGTGGACGCAACAGCGACATCGGATAAAAATTTTCCAAATTCACCGCCCGGTATGTGAACAATGATCCCTGCTATACATTTCGATATAGAAGCAATATCGTCAGTTTAGGGATCCTCTATTAACTATGACAATTGCTTCCAATACAATGTTTGATAGCACTAAAGATTTGTCCGTACTTAATTATTGATTTGTAATGGATAATATAAGGAAATACTACCTTGTACACTCTACCTACGCGAACAACAATTGTTTCTTGGCGCCGTACCGGGGGAGCACATATCACCTTCAAGAGTATAGGGCAAGACGTGGCCATCCTCAAACTCAGCGTGAGTTGTTCAATTATACGCATTCGTCCCTAAGAAATGCTATTGAGCGCACTTTCGGTGTTTGGAAAGCAAGGTTCCGCATATTGAAGTGCATAAATAATTACCCAATAGAGAAACATATACAAATTCCTATTGCTTGTGTCGTGCTTCACAATTTCATACACATGTACAACCGTAACGGCGATCTACTAAACCAATACACACGAGACGGAGTACTAGTTACTGAAATTGATCTAGAGAATGCGGATCAAGATGTTAATCAGAATCACAATCCTGATCGGGCAACTGAACAAAATCACAACTCTGCAAATCGTAGAGCAATGAATATTTTGAGGGAAGAGATGACTGCTAGCATGTGGGGGGCATTGGAAGCATATCGTAATCGGTAGTTACATATATTTGTTTCGCATTTTCAACGACCTTATTAATATGGGTTTGTTATGTATTTGCTTACCCAATTTTACACCATTAATAGTTTGTAATGCTAAACTTATGGACGTTCTTTTTTTATTTATGAATGTAGGCGTTTATGGTTTCTTTCTTTAAAAAAATCCATGTCAATACTTGCTAAAATTAGAGTTATGTTTTTGTCAAAGTGAACACAAAACTCAAGTTCAACATTCACAAACTATCCAAGTGAACACACAACTCAAATTTCAAATACAATTCCAATTAAACTCATTTTTTTAACTCTAATCTTGAATTTTAAATCGCTGAAACGAACGCACCCTTAATTGACTCAAATAATAAACCATGACAAAGTTGGTTAAAAGACATTTCATTTTTTAGAAAACGTGTTAAAATATGTTTAGTTACACACTATTTTTAAACACCAAAATTAGCGAGTGATTTGAGTCCCAAACTGATTAACCTCTCAAGAAAGCTTTGCATTATGCCTATTCTTTTGGAGTGTGACTTGAGTGTAGTTTTTGAGTTGAATTTGAGTTATAACTTGAGTTGAAGTTGTAACTTGAATAAAGTTGAGTAAAGTTGAATAAAGTTGGAACTTAAAATAACGTGAACTTGAATAAAGTTGTAACTTGAGTTTAGATTTTTTCTGAGTTTTGTTGCAAAAGAACAACCCCTGAGTGTTTGACAACGGCAATTGGTACAACAAACACATTTGCCACTTTTGTTCTTCAATTGTTTTCATTGGCCATGCTTTTCTACCATCATCCTCCTTAGCTCAATTTTTTTGGGGAGCATGAGTTAAATAAAACTTTTAAACTAAATTAATTTTGAATAAATTATAATTAGAAGTGAAAGTTAAGGATATAAATATAAATTTTAAAAATTTGGCATAGAAGTTAGAATTAAAATTTTAAGGGGACAAAGTAATAAATTCTACATCAATTTAAGAGTATAAATGAAATATTTTAGAACGTTCAAAATAAAATTTGGAATTAGAAATTATGGGGACAAAACAAGAAAAAATAAGGTAAAATTATAAATTTTTTAAAAAAATGAATAGAAGGGCCAAAAGGAGCTAATTGAGCCCGGGGCTTACATCCCATGTTTGGGGCGTTAGTTAGCTCCGTCCTTAGATGTCCTTACATTCTTATCTATCATCACTCACATTTACTTGAATCACAGTCCATATATGAACTAAAAGTGCTAGTCAATTATTCTCGTAAATCTGTCTTTTTATTTCGAAAAAATAGTGTGTCGAACTTCTAATAGATAAGAGAGCCATATCATTATAGAGAAAATTGGTGACCTCACCATTTAAACATATTGTTCTAAGATTTTTACATTTAACTCTTAATTAATACTCTTTTAACCAATTTAATACTTCTTTAATTAAAGTATTAATTAAGTGAAAAGTTAAAAAATCTAAGACTCATACATTTTAAGTAGTATTTGTCTCTTTTTTCTTAGATACCCACTATGATAATTACACAATTATTTTGTTTTCGCTTGTAAGCGAGACACTAGACTGAGCTAAAAGCAAAAACACAACAAAGAAAGAAAGAGTGAGTACTGAGTCATGATCAGGTGAGATTTCAATACTGAAGAATACAAAGCTTTTATAATCCACTCATCTGAAAAAAAAAAAAAAAAAAAAAAAAAAAAAAAAAAAAAAAGAGAGATTCGACATATGGTCCTACTTCTTTCCGACCTCAATAGAGAGCAGAAATAAAACGTGCTATATTTGCCGAGTTTAGTTAGTTCACTGTGCACGTTTGTTCTTTTGACCAAAATAATATATCTGGTTTATCTTATTTCTGAAGGCTGACATATTACACTTTATTCCAAACAGGTGCCGTGGTCCCTCTCATCCCACTACTTAGTTAATTACTCCTTTAAAAGACAATAATAATTGAATAATTAACTTTTTTTTTTTCTCGTTTGATGAATCAATTACGGAATTACCTTATTGTTATTTGTTATGATTTTCTTTTAAAAAATCTGTCATTCCGATCGGGATAGAAACTCTAATTAAGAATATGTATGTGTGTGTGTGTGTGTGTGTGTATATATATATATATATATATATATATATATATATCGCTTGCTAATTAAGAAAGTTACTGATTTGGGAATTATAACATGCTCTAATCTTTTGTTATTATCTTATTGACAATGTTGGTAACTGCCAAACTTTTTGGTTTGTGAGGTTAATTCTCATAATCAAAGATAAAATTGGCTTTTGCTTTCATTTTTTTGTTTATTTCTTTATTTATTGTCTGAAAGCGATTTTGTTTTTCTTTGTTAACTAGTCAAAGCATATGCATATCATTCAGCATACTGTTGATCCATTCATTCGCCCTCGCCAGAACACATCTCTCTCTGCATGCCCATTGGAAGTTAAAACCATTTAAAATTAAAAAAAAAAAAGAAAAAGAAAAGAAAAGAGAAAAGAAAAGAAGAAGAGAAATCCCTGATATGGCTGAAGTAAAGGCATGAACCTTGCCTGATTATTCGGTCTTTGATAATTCCATAAAGTAGCGAACATAATCGATTCCCAATATATAATTGCTTAATCTATACCCCAATGATCGTTAGGGTAAATATAAAATATATATTATATGCGTGTAAAAGTTCTAATTCTTTTTTGGACAATAAGAGTCTGTTTGAGACGTGTATTTAAATTATTATGATTTGGGTTTTGATTCAAATTTTTTATGAGAGAACTATTGGTGAAAATTTTTTTAATTCAAATTTTTTATGAGAGAAAAATACTGTAAGAGAATTATAGTTTAAGTTTTTAGTATATATACTAAATAATCCATAAGTAATTAATCCCTACTTTCTTGAACGTAAGCGGATTATCGACTAAAGATGAATATTGAATATATATAAAATAATATCATAGCCCCAAAAATATCATATAGAATATTTATCATATTAATCGAGTTAATTTCTAATTTTTACATATCCTAGCCTGCATATGTATCAAGGAAATATTGACGATAGCAACAACGGGGCTACATAAGAAGATTACACGATGATCTATTAGTTACAAAATAAAACGACATTTAAAGGTGATATTAGTAAAGTACACTGATTATGATCAAGTCATATTATTTGTAAATATAGGTGAATAATTCGAATCGATAAATCATATAATTGATCATATAGTACTATTTTTGTTGTGTTTATGATAATGATTATTGACACTTGTTTGTTTCTGTTGCTTGCCTCACTATCATTTTATCGTAATTAGTAGTGGCCAAATACTTGTCGATAGTGAAAGGTAGGTGCTGCAGAGTCAAGCAACGTGAGCTGATCGATTGAATAATAAATCAAACTAACAAGTCGTGGATAAAGCCAAGCTTATATATATATATATATATATATATATGCGCGCGCATATTATTTGTATTAGGTAAGATCCCTTCTATCTTTGTTTTATACGTATGAGGATTGTGTTTATATTGTCGAAAAGTACACAGTATAAGAAAACAAATTAAGCAGCCAAAAATGAACATGAAAAAGAAAAAAAAATGGAATAATGATTTGTGATTGCTTGTTCAATATTAAAAATTCTGTGAACAAAATTTCAACCATTAATTGTTAGTTAGACATGGAAATTAATTAGTACTTGTGGAGAGTTTTGAAAACAAACTAAAAACTTCTATTTTTTATTTTTATTTTTATTTTTTTGCAGAGTAACAATGCCCTAATTAATCATGGTACACTATACACATAATTATTACTTGAAAAATAATAACACAAATGTGTATGTGTGTGCATATTAAGATATGAGATCTAACATAAAATTTTATGAAATAGAAATTAGACACATGTTTTATAAGAGTCAAAAGTCCTAAAACTAAAATGTAACTAACCAACCACCCATCCAAGTTGCTCCTTACGAGGATTCGAAAAAGACAGAAACCTACAAAGTAAAAAAAAAAAAAAAAAAAGGATCTGGGTGCTGTTCTTAATTATATACTTATATTAGGGTTCGGATTTAGATATATCATATTATCATAGCAAGAAAAAGAAAAAAATATATATCTCTTTCTGTCCAGTTTTGCTCTCTTTCATTCTCTTAGACTTATTCCAAGTAGTACATATACCAAATCAGATCTTCTATCTTTTCTCTCCCTCCTTATAATGTCGTCAGCAGAGGACACCTCAGCCGCATAATGGAGAAATCAAAATATTTACAGGTACAACCAAAAGTTTTAATAAAATATCTTTTACTTGTTTTCTATAGGATATATAACTACTATACGTACATCATTGATGAGCTGCTCAGGATATATATATATATATATATATATATATATATATATACACACACACACAAATATACCACTCATATATGATACACACACACACACACACAACCATACGTATATGCACACACACAACATAAGTGAGACTGGTAAAGAAATAATGTTCGGACTTTCAAAAATACCAACTAATTAACTATATTCACAAAAAAAAAAAAAAAACCCTACTAAACTAAATTAATTACTACAGCCATGCATGATGTAAAACCACATTAGGTTATCCAACCAACAATCAATTATACATAAAACTAATATATATTTTATTTTCTCGATCAGTTGATAGGTTTGGATTCGTTCAGACTATTTCTTTGCTAGACAAAATCATTAGATTCTTGGATTTTGATTACACGGGAATTTGTTTTTCAAAAAAGTCCTACACAAATAAAACATGTGACTTATTTTAGTTGTTTATCATTTCGAAAGGAACCTTAACAGTTGACATTGACTTCTAACCATTATTGATGCATATAAAAATCAACATATACTCCATCACTAATTAAAAAGCAAGTAAAGAAACAGAGAAAAAGATAATCACGCATTTAGCTCTTGTGTTTTTTTTTTTTAATATATCTTAGTGGTAGAATAGATAAAGCTCTAAATTAATTAAAGACGTGAATAGGGTTCAGTGAAAGCGGTTGTATAAAAGTGACATATCTATATATAATTAGATATATATACATATTATTATTAGATAATTAAATGACGATGCTTTTATGAGTTAAGAAACTAGAACAATCTTTTACATTAAGAAATTAAAAACAAAAGAAGAAAGAGTCTTGTTAGATGACGTGCTTCAGACGATATACTTACTTTATATAATTATAATCAAATAATTTTACCCTTTTAAATTAATTTCTTTTAGACTAGAAAGATGCGACCTGTCCCTTATATGCAATATTATATGAATAAGCCATTGTGGAACATGACTCACTACGTTATGACTATGATTACTGATGTAGAACTAATAGAAATATGTCTATCTATCAGTTGTGTGAATACGTTTATTCACACATATGTAAATTGAAATTTCAGTTTCAAACTACACAATTTTTTTTTAAAAAGTCTCCACTTGCGACTTTTCTTTCCTGACCTTTTTTTCCCCTTCATTTAACGTCATTGACCTACTTCAAGAAACAATATTGCATATAACTGGTGTTAATTATGAAACGTTCTTTAGTCTTAAATTCAAAAACTATTTTTTTTTTAACATATCCCTTTCGTGTGAAGAAGCATTTTAACAAGCACGCATATATTTAGAGTAGAAATATTACAAACTTCATCCATCAAACTTATTTCAATTGGGTTCTATATATAGTAGATTGGTTTCTTAGAGAATTAAAAAAGGATATAATTAGAAGGATTTTTAAATTATAAATAATATAGGAAGTTAAAAAATTATCTAGATATTTAACACATTACATATATTGTTAAAATTTGAAGCAACTTTAAGCCTTTATACATCTAAAAATTAGTACGTATAAAATGTAAACTTTCGAACTACTACTCTAGTATGTATATAATTAGTAGATACTTTAAGTATACTTATCTATTCATCTAGTTGCGAAAATAATTAACATTAAATATATTGTCACCTCCAATGGCCTATATGAATACAAATTAATACACTTACAGCCGCGATCAATGGATTCTAAGTGGGGCACATGAACCTCACTATTCACCTGTAAACGTATAGTATCAAGTTTTGATAGTATAATGTGAGTGAGCATCGTCTTCACAGGGATTGGGTGTTAACTTACCGCTAAATACTGCGATTATTGTAACTCAACTTTATCTAGGCAACTGAACTTAGTGAAATAAAAATAGAACTAGAACAAATATAAATACAAAAACAAAATAACTATGAAAACTTTTATGCACAAATGTACTAATTACTTAACTTCACCTTATCATTCCTATGTTCATCCTATCAAACCATTGCTAGCCAATTCCACTCAATTCATAAATCAAAGGTTCGAATCTAACCTCGCTACCTCTCGTGAGCATCAAACGAAATCATATGCATGAATACCCAAATCAATATTTCTATCTAACCCGTTTACTCATACACTCATTAAGTTTAGCCTTTAAATTAGAATTCAAATGTCGATCGCCTCCCAACCTCACAACATTCAAAATCCTAGTTGATAATCAAGGTCTTGATCACCTTCCGGTCTCACAATATCATAGACTCTCAACGAGATTATCTAAGTGTTGATCTCCTCCCAGACTCACAACAACCTAAACTATCTTTCCCAATTCCGGACTATGAAATCAATCTCTCTCGAGCATCAAAATCACAATCTAAAATTATCTAACTCATAGGCCACATAAATTAGAAACATCAAGCATAGAGAAACATAAATAAATTAAAATGAAATTTAAAATAACAATTGACAAGATAATCAAACATTGTTCAAATAAAGCCACATCAAGCCCTAGAATACGAAGTCTAGCAACCAAAATCACAAATTTAAGAATAAAAACTAAAAAAACTACAAAGAAAAGGAAAAAGGGAGAATGAAGAGAAAACTCTTGTAGAGATGAGCTTCAAGCCTTCAACTCTTCAAGAATCTCTCCCAAGCATTTTTCATGAATATCCAACTCCAAGCTCTTCTCTCTAGAAATTTTTGTGCCTCTCATCCTCTCAAAGTTGGGAACTAAGCTTTTTTTGTTTTTTTTTTTGTTTAAGTATGCTCAAACATGGAGAAAATCTTAGCCAAACTCATCCAAGGGTCCAAAATTAGCCATCCATATTGATCAAGGGTTGAAAAATAGCCCAAAGTTCATCAACAGCACGTAGGAGGGTGCATCCGCGCGCCTCGGTGGCGCGGCCACACGGCTAGTGGCGCTCGCAAGCGCACTGTGGTGCGGGCGCGCGCCTCAGGTGGTGCGCCCGCGCAGGTGGTTCTGCCCAAGAGGGCCCTTGTGTGGCCTTGAGTGCTTTTTGCTCCAATATTTTACTCCAAAATACCATTAAGTCTCATTTTATTATTTTCATATAAAAGAACACCAAAAGCACATTAAACTAACAAAAATGTTTAAAGACTTATAAATATATAAACTTAAAAATACTTAATTTATCGGTAAATAACCTTCTCATCACCCACCAATTCCAAACATTCATAATTGACAAATCACGAACAAGGAGTACTCATTCAATATTCTTAATATCTCTTTCTACACTATGTTTTCACATTGACCCTCATCTAAATTTTAGGCCATGTGAATCCCCTTTCACGATTACCCTTTTACGATTACATGATGTACAATTAACCCAATGACGGCCACTAAAAGGGGCTTTTTTTATTTACATTTACAGCGAATAAAATCGTTGTCAATTATATAAATCAATATATAAATATATTTCCCCAGAAAAAAAAATAATCATCATATTATTATATTCAAATGATTTCCCAGAAAAAAAAAATAATCATCATAATATTATATTCAAATGATTTGTCACTATCACCGAGGAGATTTTAGTGACTCCACTTGGGATTTGCCACGGGGACCTCTCAATCTGATGAAAAGCCTGTACTCATCGAATGTCATGGGTGTGTATAGTGCTGGTTTATCTGGCGTCACGAGCTCCTTGGCTGGCTCTATAGGAATGTCACTTTTTGGATTGTAAAAGAAGGCAAGTGATACCCTCTCTTTGCCTGAATTTACCAGCACTCTGTGCTCAACGCTCTTGTATATTGCATTGCTCAATACCTACAAAATTCCATGCACAATATTATATGATTAGTTAAATTGTTTGCTTAGCAAATTTTGTTTAAAAACTGAACAAAGCATCTCTTGCCATTTAAAACTAACACAACTGGTTGGGTGCGTGAATGCGTCAACTGATGATTCAGTATTGAAATCTTGATATTTTATTGTATTGTGTCCCCCTCCCCTAACTTAGATATATAAAAAAGAAAAAAAAAAGAATAAAGCATCTCCATACTACTATTGTATGTGTGAGTTGATAAACAAGTTTTGGTTAAAAAAAATAATAATGACCTAGTATATAAATTGCCCTCTTGGGTATATGTACTAATTGTGCATGGTAGGTGTGAACGGGGGATAAATAAGAAATACTTAATTTGGTTGCGTGGGGTTAGATTATTTTTGGATGGGCAAGGATAGAAACTATCGGCTAGGTTATAGGCTTTATTATCATTATTATTATTATTATTATTATTATTATTCAAATGCAGAATTGTACTTGGGAAAGCATCCCTTTCAAGAATTATACTATTCTTATGTGAGAAAATTATTGAACTTATTTTTAGAGTGTATAGATATGAATTTTTACTTCTTATTTTTTATTAATATAGTTATTTGACTAAAAAAATATATTAATCAAGAGTAAAATGTAAAAATTTAAATCCATGCACTCTAAGAATTATTTGTCTCCTTTCCCTTTCTTATTCACATGGAAACAACATATTGCAGTGATTTTAAGAGCTAGCGCCAGAAAAGTCACAAATGAAATTGGAAAAAGGACATATAGTTGCTATTTTAATGCATTTCAAGCACGTTTGGAAATTGGAAAGGTTGATTTTCGGAAAAACTGAAAGCAAAAATAAGAAAAAAAAGGATATATGGTCAGGAATTATATGGTTATGAACATGAAGGACCTTATCCTCTTGTTCCTATTTTTCCATATATATATATATATATTTATATATATGTATGTATGTATGTATGTAGACTAAAAATAAGATCCTATCCGATTCCAAGTATGAATTAGCAATACATGTTTATCCTGTTTCTATCAGCTTGCATTTAAAAAGAACCTAAAAAATTCTTTACATTAAAGGGTCTATCGTCAAACAGCCAAAGAGGCCATATGTGCCAACTCAAGAAAGATCAACTTGGCAATTGGCGCTTAAGCATTAGTTTGCAAACTGAATTAAATTAAACTTGAAAGCAGTCAAGGGAAGTTGGCCCCTCCCATAGACAAATTTAATGGATGGAAAAAGACACAAAGTAATTAATATTGAACTTGTTTTTCTTTTCTTTTTTCCTTTCACCACCACCGAAAAAGAGAGGTGAAAAAAGTGAGTAAATTAATGAGAAATAATAATTTTTCCCACTCCCCGTAATGCATGTGCTAAGAAGCATGATATATGGATAATTCAAGAGACCAAAAAAAAAAAAAAAAATTGTTCATGCACTCAACTGTTTTTGGGCTTTGTCAAGAAACAGAAGACAAACAATACCACAACTAATAAATGGGAAAAATATACACACACATATATATAGCCAAATGTGAATTCAAGGTTTTGAACACCAAAATTGAATAACTGTTAATTATTAATAATAGCTGTTGACGGTGAAATTTCGTTTCCCACACAACAATAGCTATCCCACCAAAACATGACCCCTCCATGTGCTTATATAAGGTGCATGAACATTCACAGCCAAACATCGATCTTTCACTCTAAGGATAATAATCCATAAAAATAAAAGAAACCCGTATATCCCAAAAAATGAGAAAAAAAAAAGAACTAAAAAAGGAAAAAAAGGGGAAAAAGCGGAAAATTGATTGTCACCTGAATTTGATCACCAATATTGACAATGAAAGCGTGTGGAGCAGGTTTGACTGTGATCCAAGAAGTGTCTTTTCGGACTTGAAGGCCCGTGACTTGGTTATCCGGTAGTAACAGGGTCATCCCTCCAGGGTCCGAGTGAGACGACAGTCCTAGGGTCAGCTCTGGTTGAGGGCATTTTGGGTAATAGTTCACCCTTAGACATGCTCCTATGTCCTCCCCGCCAAAGGCATTTTGAAGAAAGTGCTCTTTTAGTCCAAGGTTTACCGATAATACCCGTAGGAGTCTCCCACACAGCTTCACCACTTCCCTTCCGTACTCATCAATTACTTCTCTGTTTCATTAATTATCAAACTATTTCAGTAAATTATTATTCATAGCTTTTTATAGTATTTTTTCTTATAAAAAATATGCATAATTTAAAAATAATTCTGAATTATGATTTTAGATCCATTTAATTAAACGTCCACTAAATCTCCACCACAACAGAGAAAAAGGGAAAAAAAAAAAAGGGTCATTTTCCACTTATTTCATTGTAGCATATCACCCACGCAAATTGAGATATTTCGTCACAGTTTACACATTTCGCTACATTTTGTCACGTTTTCTTCAACTTTTAATTCGGACGAAACTTATAGATCTTCCCGTCCAAAAAATAAATAAATAAATAACAAAACGTAGCAAAAAGTACTAACTCAAATAATACGTAATACGTCATAGTTACATGTATTATTTAGCGGTAAATTCACGTATGACTCCAATAATAGAGAATATATAAATAAGTACCTGCAATTAGGAGGAAGGTGAGGCCACTTCTTGTAATCTTTCAAACAGGAGGGAAGATAGTGAAGAAAGTAGTAATCACTCCAGTCAAGAATGGCGCCTTTCTGAACTCCCAAACGGCTGCCGTAGCCTTCGTAAGTCCTCGGCGAGTTGGCGTAGAGTTGCTTGGTTTCGATCGGCAAATAAAAAAAATCGCGCCAAACTCCGAGAGCCGCGTCCATTAACTCGGGGCTGACGCCGTGGTTGACGACTTGGAAGAATCCCCACTCGCGGCATGCCTCCAACACTATCCGCAGCGTCGCGGTCCGAACGACGTCGTCGTGGCCGTAGAGGCCGCTCATGTCAACGACGGGGATGTTGGCGTCGTTTGACGAGTCAAACGACGGTCGTTCGGTGTCGGGTTTCACATAACGGTCGGGGATGGAAGGTAGGCCGCTCTCCGACAGGGATTGGACTCGGACGATTGGCTCTGGCCATTCTTGTAGGCTGTTATTGCAGTTCTTCATGGTTTTTTTGTTTTGAATTTTGGGTTTTGTTTTTCAGACAGTTTGCAATTCCAAGGTAGATATGGAATTTATTGACATGTACGATGAAACTAAAAAAACCTACTTGCTAGATAGTAACGATATAGCTACTTATTCTTGGATTATAAGATTCTTTTCCCTGAAAACCCATCCCCCAAAAAAGAAAAAAAAAAAAAAAAAAAAAGGAAAAGTGAATTGTGTATGAGTGTATCTATCTATGTTCGTGTGTGGTTGAGAGAGAAAGAGAGGGAAGTGGGGAAGAGTGAGGGGAGTGGTAGTTTGAAGGGGTGAGGAATGGCTGAGTGAGGTGGACATGAAAGAGAAAACGTGAAATATGTGGGGATATTTTTTTATATAATGAAGAAATAAATGTGTGGGAATAACTGACTTTTATGCATTTGATAGATAAGAGAGAGAGAGAAAGCGATGAGAAGAGAGAGAAAGAGAAGAGAAGAGAGAGAGATGTTTGGTTGTGTGGTTTTGTGGAGTACTTTGTTGAGTATATAGTACTGCGGTCGTGTGGTAGAGGATGGTGTCTTTACCTAAAGGTGACAATTTGTGTTAGTAGATTGTGTTCGTATTAACTCGTTTATTAATCGTGTTAAAAAATATTAAATTAAACACGATATGTTTATTAAACGTGTTAAAAATGTTAATCTAAATCTAACTCATTTATTAATTGTGTTAATCGTGTCAATTTGTATAACCCGTTTAAATTAATATATTGAATAAATAACTAATATAATAATGACTTATTTAATACAGTGAAGACATGTTTAACATGTTTATTGGTTAATTTATCTTTTCTTATAAAAAATTATAAATGAATTTTACCTATAAATATTAAAATTTACATTATTTGTATTTAATATCTCATGTAAACTTAAATTATAGATGACACATATAGTTAATTATGTCAATTCATGTTAGGATGTCAACCCTAACTCAACTCATTTATTAATCGTATTAATCATGTCAATTCGATTATGATCTAAACTCATTTATAGTAAACTTACACCCGTTAATTTCATGTGAGTTTTGAGTCATATCGTCGTATCGCTACCCGCCAACGCTATCTTTAACTTGATGAGGTTCACAAAACGACAGGCCGACAGAGAAGAAAAAAGACAAAGAACAGAAACATACTCTACAACTTAGATGAACCAATTGGGCCATGTATAACTCGTGTGTCTTTAGCCTTTGGAAGATCAATCTTAGGTTGGTCCCCAGGCCATTTCGGCGCCGTGATCAACTTGGTCATTTACTAGCTACCACCCTTCATTAATTTAATTAATTGCCTCTAAATTCTTTAATAATAATGATAATAATAATAATAAAAGAATAATGTTATTTTTTTCGCCTTGTATTAATTAATTTATTAGCGATCCGTGATGTTTCAATTGTGCAAGCAAACGTAGCAAGCTATTTAAGATAAATACTTGTGATTAGGCTGACTTTAGTTCTAATTTGTTTTGTAGGAATGATTGACAGTTCGAAGGTGTTTATTTTTGAATTAGATTAACTAAATGGATTTTTTTTTTTGGAAATAAAATTGTATTGGGTAGCGACCTAGTACACGAAAATCAGTCGGCAAAACAAAGTACAAAAGTAGGCATAATATACTGGTTGATGATCTCAATCTAGCAATCAAAATACTATTCTATTATAAAAAGAGATAAATTAGAAATTACTCTCTTTTTCTCTGCCGGCTCAAATTAAATTCCATTATTCAATCAGAGTGAGAGAATATCTTCAAGGTAGGAAAACAATAAAATATAATAAAAACGGCATTGAGATCTTTAGTCTATAATTCGATAAGAATAAGTCATTTAACATATTTTCAGCCAAAAAAAAAAGTCATTTAAAATGTTAAAAATCACCCGTTATTCATTTTGTGACGTTAATTAATCTTCAATATAAACACATGTGCACATACATATTAAATTTGTTTGAGTAGTGTAAATCGGAAACATGTTGGTCATGTTTTGTTAATATCGTATGCATCAAATTACAAAATAATTAAATAAATATATTTCTATTCCACTATTTTTTTTTCCCTTTTTCAAAATATTTTTCTCCTTAAAAAGCCAAAAACAAGTAATCTCATAATGACAATAAAAGAAGCAGCTAGATAGTGTGACCTGTTCCACCTTGGATGGGCCTTAAGAATTAATTACCTTTTTCCTTAAGCCAACATTTGCGGCCAGTTCCATTGGTGTTTAGTGGATATGTATTAGTTCTTTTTAATATATTAATATAAGTTTAGGTTTAAATATCAGAGATAGAAAAATTTTAATCATGTTTTTTCTTGAAGTATATATGTAAATATATACATATATATATATATATATATATGAACTAGTTCGATTACAGGGTTGAGAAACGTTGGATACTTCCGGCCCTAACCTCCCGATGGATTAGTGCTTAAGTGCTGAAAGAAAAAAATGAAAAAAAAACCGTACACACATGTCTACACAATATATATAGATATATAATTACTGCACACGAAAGAATATTGGATGTAAATGACCCTTAATTATATTTGCTTCGTTACATTATGATTCTATGTGAATACTACGAATACAGTCAAACGACGATGAGAATGACCTCGTCCGGGAAATTAAACGACAATATTTAAAGTACAAATTGGACCAGTTTTTAAGCAAAATTTGTTGTTGGTATACTATATCATATATATATATATATATATATGCTCACTGCTCAGCTCGATTTATGTCGGTAATATATATCATGTTTTTATCATATATAATCCTGCAAGATATGCATTTGACGTATTCCTTAATCCAATTCTTTTGTTTTTTGTGGGCATTCAATAAATATTGGAAGAAAACAGAAGTAATCTGTGTGAAAGGTGTATGTATCACCAACAAAACAAAGGAAAAACAATATAGGAACTATATGGTAGTTTACATTGTGATAGCTTGTTTTTAGTTTTCTATAAACGATTGTAAGACTTTTGAATCTAAAAACTTCGAGACTAAGAAAATATATAAAAGTAGTTGAAAAAGGAATAACTCCATGTGAAAGACGTGTATCATTTAAAGAGAAATGATTAATTTGCTAGCTTAAATACATGTGCTTGGCTTTAAAGAGAGCTCACGATAGTTACGTGAAAATATCTTAATCTTTGTTGATCATCAACCACATAGAGATACCAACTCAAATATCAACTCTTGTGTATTAATTAATGTGACATCTGAGCAATAGCGGATGTATATATAGTTTAGTGGGGGCGGATTTTTTTGAAAAAAATATTACACCTTAAAATTTTAAGATTTTACACTTAAGCCTCCACTAAAATATATTAAGCCTCCATTAAGATATACTATAATTCTTAATATGCCCCCATACTTTTTTTAATTTTTTATTTATCCTAACTTTTCATATTTTTTATGTTATTAATTTGTTAAAAAAAAAAATTAGTGTACGCCCTTCACTGAAGTGAGAAGCTAACTCTGTCACTGCATGTGAATTGTTATTTTTATATTAGTGGGTATTTAAAAATATTATCACGTCAATTAATAAAAAGAACTGCATTACTAATATAAGAAACGACAACTTACTACATTTGTTAGTACACAAAAATTAAAATTTGAGTTGATATCTTTAACATTATCTTAGAAAAAGAAAAGACTTTTTTAGAACTCCATAAACGCATTGACATATATAGAGAGAGAAGGAAAATAGATATAATCATTAGATGAGTGATAATAAGTAGCTAGGAGTGTTTGGTATTCAGATTACGTCCTAAGATTAACATATAGGAGTAGCTTAAGTTCTTCTAAGCTCAATACGAATTCTGGCCGTACATCCCGAGCAATCCTCACTCAAAAGGAAGTCTACGATCATTATGAGTGCGTTTGGAATTGATTCCAAAACGTTTTTATTTTCTGTACGAAAATGAAAATGAAAACGTTTTCATTTCATTTTTGAATTATTTCTGAAAATGCGTTTGGTAGTTTTATTTAGAGATTGATTTCAGTTTTAAAAAAAAAAAACTGAAACTGCGTTTGGTGGTTTCATTTTTGAAAACATGTAATAGTATTTAATATATTAAATAAATAATAATTGAATCATAAATAAAACACTAATAATTAATAAAATATGCAAATTACAATATTAGCTTAAATTATTGTCGCATATATGAATCCCACATTTGATTAGCTAGATGATCCCTAAAATTAACCATGTAATTCCGTTGTTGCCGACCACCCATTTCAGATGTTTCTGCTTCTGGTGCATCCATACCATGTTGTTGTTCCTGTTGCCCTTCTTGTTCTCCCTCAATATCTTCTACGGGCAAATCGACCTCATATTGTCTAAATAGAGGTTTATCTCGCGCATGCATCTTAATTAAATTGTGGATCACACAACAAGCTATTGGTATAACATTTTGTCTTGGCATCCAATAATTGGTCATATGCCTAAGAATTTTAAACCTTGCTTTCAAGACCCCAAAGCACCTCTCTATGCAATTACGCAATGAAGAGTGATAATAATTGAATAACTCTTGTGGTCCCGTTGGTTGACCACCATTTCTAAACTGTTGAATATGGTACCTCTGACCATGAAATGGTGCCTAGTTCGTCTGTTTCCAATCGACATCAATAATTGGATATAATGTTGTGGTTGTTCATCATCATCTGATGACTGGAGAAAGTCAACAGCTCTGGCATCATTCTCACCATCTGAATCCATATTAACCTAAAAAATGAACTAAGACCGGAACTAATCAAACATCCATATAACATTAACTAATCAAACGAAGAACTCTAATGTAATTCAATCCGACTAAAAACAAATAACAAAGTCTAACAAACACAAGTCCAAGAGAAAAATCTGTTGTACATGCTCAACAATACTTAAAAAAAAACATACGTTCGAGAGGAAACAAATAAAGAAAACAACACAATAATCATTTAAACTACAGGCTTCGAATCCATGAAAGATGACGACAAGTGGGCATTTTCACAAACATCCTCCTAAGGGAAATGTCAACCGCCAACTGGTGCGCTGCCTTAGTATACGTATTGTCGTCTAAATACTCCCCATACTCATTCAGCAAATCCATACAGGTTTCAATACTTGTAGTTGGATCCTCTTTCTGAGCCTCGGCTAATGCCATAGTACGAGCTTGCCTATCAGCTAAATATTGCTGAAACAAATCAACCTTTTGAACAGATGTCTCACTACGTAGGGTAGCACTCTTTGCCAAAGCCTGTATAGCCGCGGCAACTGCACTGTTGTTCTTGCCCTTCTTCTTGAATCGAGTAGTAGGACCCTGAGACCGTCTGTTTCTATTGTCTTCTGCACCCCGGACTTCATCCGAGTCCCATGTACCCTCCTCCACCTCTTCCGGTTGTGTGGCCGCCCTTTTCGCCGCATTCAAAACATTAACAGCAGTATGTGCATTCATTGACCCCTGTCCAGTAGCAATAGTCCCAAAAAAAATCTGT